TGAAGTGTGGGAGCAGGGCGAATTTGCCTCAGGAGAGGCAAAATATTGGGAGGGGCTCAAAAGTAAAGGATGAAGCTCAAAGTGCTTGGGGGAGAATCAGCTATTCAACAAACATTGGTTGAGCACCAGCTGTATGCCAGGACCACTGTGTCTTGAGCCTCTTTCCCTTGAGTCCCTTCCCTCACCGATCCCTCATCACCAGAGGGCCCAAGGGATGGCCCCAAAGAGGGATGGCAATTCCACAGAACACTTAACAAGGTACTAAGCTACAAGAATATTCTGGGCAAAAACACAGATTATTTAAAAATACAGATTATTAATCTGAATGGGGGAAATTCACAGGGGACTGAAAAAGGACATGACTCTTGTGGGCGTGGGGGTTGGAGAGTAGCATTGTCAGGTGCTTGGCAGGGAGCCGTGGGAGCAGGCCGGAGGAAGGGTCATTCCCACATTCTAAGTCCAGATGGCCTGGAGCGCCAGGGTGGACCAGAAATTCATATAGTTCAGGTAGGAAAAGAAACCTGCCGGGAGGAAGAGTGCAGAGGGGGTGAAATGCAGAGTTCACCAGCCCAACCCTGATCCCAGTTCTCTCCCCAAGCTCAACCACACCCCCTACCCTGTCCCCAAACCCATCCCTAAACTCAAACTCAACCCTGTTCTCTACACTGTACCCAACCCCTTTCTGAACCCAAACCCAGCCCCATCCACAATTCCATCTCATCCCCCTACCCTGTCCCCAAACCAACACCATTCCCTACACTGTCCCAACCTATTTCCTCACCCAACCCCTACCCCATCCTCTTCTCAGACCCGTCATCAGGAAGAAGAAGATGCCAGTCCATGCCAGGTAGAAGCTCTGCCCCAGCCTGTAGGTCATGCCTTCCTGCAGGTACTCATGGGCCTGCATCAGGTAGAACAGGACCCCCAGCATTATGCTGGTCCCTGCATGAGGACAGGTGTTAGAAGGCTGAGCAGCAGGTGTGTGAAGACCCTGCCCATAGTTGTGTGGCTGCCCAGCTGTTGCTCAGTATTTCCTCACTTTCTTTCGCCTCCCTCTACCTCTGCTCACAAGCAGGATAGTATGCTTCTGACAGTGTCATGGTAAACAAGGTTGGGAGTGCAAGTCTTGATCTTTTACTAGGCAACAGTGGTGGGGCCAATTAACTGGAGCTCCTGCCTCTGCATCTCACCTTAGGGCAGCCATTTCACCTCTCTGAGCCTCATTTCCCTCATCTGTAAATGCGCATAATCATAGGAACCATCTCCTTGGGCTGTCATGAGTTTTGGAGATTGGCACATTTCCCGGCACACGTTGAGCCCTCAAGAAGTGAGATTGATCATTATCATTATATTGAGTCTTTAATTTAGGGCTTCTGAAGAAGTGGATAAGGATATCAATCATTCTGGGTATTTTAACTATGTGTTGAAATGACATGAATTAAAAATAATTTGTGGAGGTGGCCAGTTAGCTCAGATGGTCAGAGTGCAGGCTCATAACACCAAGGTTGCCGGCTTGATTCCCACATGGGCCAGTGAGCTGCGCCCTCCACAACTAGATTGAAAACAACCACTTGACTTGGAGCTGATGGAGCCTGGAAAAAAACACTGTTCCCCAACAAAGTTTAAATAAATAACAATAATAATTTGTGAAAAGGAAAAAGACTTTTTCAGGTAGTGAAGTACTGCATAATTTTTGCTTTATGTTATTGAAAAATAGAAAGTGTTTTCCATTTAATTAAAAGTGAGAGTGGGCAGAAACAATTTTCTTATAGAAAAATGTCCTAGTTTAGATGACATGAAACTGAGGTGTTTTCTACCCTAAGTACCTATATTTAAACAAGCAGGAAGAACTAACAGACAACCTGAGCATATATCATTTACTAACAAGGAAATAGGAAATTGAGCTGTCTCTCTTCTTGGCCTTACTATCACTCTCCAAGAATTTTCTCTTGATGCAACTGAAAGTTGTGGTCAATTACTACAAGAGAACATAATATCCTTCGTGTCCAAATTAAAGTGCCCTCCACTGCCTCCTTTTCTAAAAAGTGTGATTTGGCATGCAAATGGAAAACTGAACCATTCTAATCAGAATATGTAAAATTCGAGTTATTTGGGTGGGAGTATGACGATTATCATGGTAAGGACATGTGCAAAGTTAAATAGCTACCATAAGTACTGACATTTTCTAATTCAATCCTCACGACATCTCCATGTGGTAGGAAATTTTATCCCCACTCTACAGATGAGAAAACTGTGGCTCAGAAAGATTAAGTAGCTTGAACAAAATCACAGAGCTGGTGGGAGTGAGAATAGAGGAGTTGGGGTAGGGCTAGAACTGGAAATGAAGTTGGGCACTGGCTAGAGAGGTTGAAGTTTGAGTGATAAGGATGGAGGTTGGAGTTGAGGCTGGTGTTGGGTTGTGGTTGGGGATGAGGATTGATTGAAAATTGGTGAGAGGGTGGAGTTGGGAATGGATTCAGTTGAGTTTGAGAGTGAGGTTCATGGGTGATAGGGATGGGGTTGAAGTTAAGGTTGGGCATGAGGTCAGATTTGAGAAGAAGATGGGGTCAGAGATGGATTGGGGTTGAGTTTGAGTTTGAGGTTCACAGGTGATAGGGTTGGGTTGGATTTGGAGGATGAGTGTTGAGGAGGGTTAGGCATGGGGTTAAGTTGGGTGCTGAGATTTGTAAATGGGTTGGGGATGGTTTGGGAATTGGAGAGAAGATAGAATTGGAATGGTGGGGGAATAGGGAGGACATTATGGAAGGAGATGTGGATGAATTTGAGATTTGTTGGTGATAAAGATGGGAGCTGAAGTGGGGGCTGGTTTGGGGGCTGGAGATGGGGTTAGGTTGGAAGCTGGTATTTTTTATTGGAATGGGTTGGAGATTTAGAGGGAGATTAGATTAGGATCGGGGCGGAAGGTGAGGATTGGGACGGGATTGGAATGTGATGGGGTGGGGGTTGGGCCTCATGATAGGCACTGGGCAAGATGTGCCTCGCTTCGGTGTTCCTGGAGGAAGGATCTCAGTGCCGTGCCTGTCAAGATGCTGATGATGAAGTTGGAGAAGTCCAGCATGGGCAGGTTGGAGCTGGTGAAGAAGATGATGTTTATGAGTATCATGCAAAGGAAGAAGCTGTTGATGCCGGCAAAGAGGAGGAAGGCCCAGGAAAAGTCCAACAAGTCTGGGGAAGGAAGGATATCATGCAGGTGAGGATGAGCATAAGGCAGTGAGCATGGTCCTGGGGCAGGGAGGACCATCCAAGGGAAGGCAGGAAGGGGTCCCTAGGACAGAGGAGACATGAATCCCAGGAAAGGTGACCCTAGGGCAGGCCTTACAAGCATTCTGGTCGTACTCATGTAGGCAGGAGGTGTCAGCGCACTGCACAAAGAAGATGGTGTTGATGGAGATGGTCAAGGGGCCAGCAGGGTCTCCAGGGGATGTGAGTGGCACCTGGAAGTGGATCCAGGGCTGGCCCAGAGAAATGAGACCGATGATCACCATGCCAGCTAGGCTCAGCAGGAGGCTCAGCTGGCGGCTGATCTTCTTGGCCCCGTACAGCAGCCGCCAGCCTATGGGCAGCTGGGAATGTCTGCGTCTACACCTGCGGCAGATTGCCCACCACCAGTGTCAACACTGAGTCCAGCCGCCCAGCCCAGTCACCCCAGGTCCAGCTGCCAGACCCTGTCTCACCCAATCTAGGCTTTAGACTCTGTCTTTTTTATGTCCATCATCCATGTCCTGTATCCCCCAGGCCTTGCCACCCCCAAATTCAGTTCCTACATTGAGTCACAGGTCCAGCCTCGGTGCCATGCCCTCCCCAGGGCCAGCCTTCAGGTCCAGCTTCCAAGCCCTGCCACACCTAGGTCCAGTCTCCACACTTGGATAGACCAGCCATGTTTCTGATCCCTGACCTTTGACTGATGCCCCTCCTCAAACATTTTAGCCCGGAATCTGTCCTCTTGCCTGGACCCCTGCCTCTCACCTGCTAGAACTGACTTCCACTGAGTTGCCTGACGGTAAGTTGTGGATGTTGCTGTCTGGAGTATCTTCATTGAGTTGGGAGCTGTCCAAAGAGTGTTTGAAATTCTCAAAGGTCCAGAGAACTGTTTGAGGATTTTCGCTACTGGCATCAGGGCTGTGAGTAATTGTAGAGGGGATACAGGCTTCGGCCCGGGTTGGAGACTTAGGGCCTTGAATACCTAAGTGGGCACTCCAAGTTGGTGGTTGGTCTTGGAAACTGAAGTGACTGGTATAGGCAGCTGATTCAATATTGGTCAGGGGGATGTGAGTAATTAACGGAGGGCTTCGGACACTGAAGTGGCGAGTTTGGAAAATTGATGAAACATCTCGGTTAATGAAACGGCAACTGTAGATAGCTGAGGGTGTGTCTTGGATACTGGCCCAGTGACTGCTGGTAATGGATGATGTATCCTCAGTCCTGACTTGGCCGCTGTTGCTAGTGGATGGTTTCTCTTGGATACTGGCCCGGCAACTATGGATAATGGACAGGGGTTCTTGGATACTGACCTGGCGACTGTGGAGAACAAATGGTTCTTGTATATTCACCCGGCGAGTGTGGATAATGGATGGAGGATCTTGGACACTGACCCTGGGCCTATAGGTAATTGGCACATGGTCTTGAGTGTTCTCTTGAGTGTTGTTTTTGGGAGCTCCTGGAAGGAAATCTGACTGGGTGATCTGGTGGTTAGATGGGGCCTTCTGGGACATGTTGAGATACAGGGCAAGGTCAGTCCCTAGAAGCACTCAACAGCCTGTCAATGGCCTCAGCCCTTCGTTCCAGGTACCTCTATGGCCACCTGGAAGTACGTTGGTCTCTCTCCAGGGTTCAGGCTCTGTCCCTTGAGGTCTGGATTTTTCTGTCCCTTCTTCAGTGTTTCTCGGTCCCCCCTCAGGCCTCAGGGCTTCAGTTTGGCCTGCAGCTGGGGGCAGGTAAAGGTTCTATGACAGTTAGAGGCATTCCAGGAAGTTGGGACATTGGCCATGGACTCATACTCCACACTGGACCAGTGTGAGTGGCATAGGAGCTGAGGCTGGGTCCAGGTGGGTTCCAGTGTTGGGTATGGACAGGGTCAGAATTGGATCAAGAAGAGGTCATGGCTGGGTCAGAGAGGTGTTAAGACAGGGCCAGGGTGGAGTGGGGGGTAGGGAGCAATTTCAGGATGGAGACAACAGGGTCAGAGAAGGGCCAGTGCAGGGTCAGGAGTAGGCAGGGCTGAGTCACCCGCATCTCTGAGATCAGTTCTTACAGTTTCTGGAGGACCCGAGATCTGAATATATAATTTCCTTTTCCTACTTGCCCTATGCCATAACCCTCCCAGGGCCATCTCTGAATCCAGCTCATCCCTTTATTGCCTTTTCAAGTTCTATGGTGTCTCTCTCTCTCTCTCTCTCTCTCTCTCTCTCTCTCTCTCTCTCATTTTCTTTCTCTCCCCCTCCCCCCTTTCCTGAGGCTACAATCCACAGCTTGAGAAGGATGAGGGAAATAGCAGTTTTAAAGTCTCCACTCCTGACAGGAAAAGATGCAACAGAATGATGCCGGTGAACCCAGGTCCCCAGAACACTACTCTTTCCCAGCGGGCCTGAACTATTCCTGGGAGGAAGACAGAAGGTTCATCCTGCGGGGCTGGTCTCTTGTCTTCAGCATCCTCGCCACCCTGATGGTGCTCAGTGTGATGGATGGACGCATGGCCTACGTGCAGGGCCCCTACACTGGCTACGTGGGCATCTGGACTTACTGCAGGAAGCACAAGTGTCCCAGCCTGGGCCAAGTCACTGGTCAGTAGGGTGTTGAACAGGCTATGGGGCACTCTGGAGGGGGGCCTCTGGAGAGTATCAGGAGTGGGAATCTTTAAGTGCTTTGGGGGGAATCTTTATAATTCTTGAGAAAGGGTCTCTGGAGATTCTTTGGAGGCCTTGGCAAGGGTTCTCCTGTAGTCCTTTTGGCTTATATGGAAATAGGACAATTATACACATGAGAAGAAGAGCATAGCAATTGACCGAAAACCAAGCTGCCTCATGATTATATAGCTAAAGTCTCTCTCTCTCTCTCTCTCTCTCTCTCAATTTTTTTCCCCCAAAAAAGGTGACAAGAGGCTTTCAGCTCTGTGCATTTCCATTGCTTTTGAGCATTGAAGCAAAAGGCAGCCCAGAGGCTGGAGCCAGAGTGCCTGGGTCCAAATCCTGGCTCAACCACTTGGTAGCTGGGTGATCTTGGGCACATTCCTTCACCACTCTGTGCCTAAGTTTCCTCATTTGTAAAATGGCAATGATAGTACAATAGTACCAATTAGTAGGCTGTTTACGGGATACAGGAACTAAAAAACATAAAGGAATTAGAACACTGCTTGGCACATATTAAGTGCTACACCAGGGTTAGCTATTATAAGGACAGTTTTGTTTTCAGCCGATGCACCTACCTTCATTTTAGATCTCAAAGAAGCGCTTATGAAATTTCCAGAACATGTGTAGTCTTATTTATTTATTTTGAATATCTCTTTGATGCCTCCCAAACTCAAGCTGACTTAAGTAAAATGAACATGTAATTTATGGTTTCAAGTAACGGAAAAGTCCAGTGACATAGATCTACCTGGTTGCGGTACGACTCCCGATCCAGGTGTAATGACACCTGGGATCTGTCTGTCTTTTGCCGCCTCTCCATGAAGGCTTCTGCTCTGTTGGGCCCTCAGGAAACCTGTGCCCGTACAGTGGCAAGGGGGCCATCAGCAGCTCCAGCAGCTCCTGGATTCTCTCCTTTCTGTAAACAACATGGAGAAAAGAAAATAAGCCATCCTCAAAGGTCTCAGCATTAGCTCTGATAGAATCAGACTTACTTCCCTGGGATTTCTCACTCCCCCCAACCAGTTGCTGTGGTCGGGAGGATGTCATGCTGTAATTGACTGGGTCTGGCTTGCACGCTTTTCTGAAGAGTCAATGGAGGGGTCATTTCTGTCAGAAGCACAAGGACAGAGGGTAGGCAGAGAGTGTCTCAACAAAATTAAGCTGCTGTTGCCAGAAGAATGGGAATAGGTGCTGAGTGAGCAAAGCAACTGTGCACATAGTCTCTGCATATATGAGAAAACAGCTATATGTTTATACACACATATGCATATATACCTCATACATATAGAGGGTGTGTATACATGTTTATTTATTTAATTCTCATTTAAAAAACACACATGGCAGTATTTTAGTTCTCCTTTTAAACGTAAGTCACCATTTATTGAATGCTAATAAGAATGTACAAAGCTTGATAGTCAGCATAAAGAAATATAGGTTATACAAGTTTTTATTTTTTTAAGGTGCAGAAATTCAGAATTTTTATGTAGTTTAATTTCTCCCCCTTGCCTCTGTGACTTTACTGATTGCTTCTCAGCTTCAGGAAGTTCTTCTCCCTTTAGATTTTTGGTGACCATTCAATTCTGGGTGTGTTTTTTTTGCCGCGCGGGGGTTGTAATTTCGTGGGTGGTATGTAGGCAACATTGAATCCTGTGCTTCTTGCTGACTCATGGAAGGACCTGAATCAATCAGGAGTCTTTGGGTCAAAAGTGACAGAAACTAACTTGAACTAGCTTGAGTGAAATAATTTATGTGAAATCATCTAAGTGAAAAAGGGTGCGGTAACAATGCTTTCAGGCATGGCTGAATTCAGGGGTCCATGTGATAATATTAGACATTATTGTTTGTTTCTTGGCTACTTGAATTGGCTTTATTCTCAAAGTTCCATGGAGTAGCAATCAGGACCCTAGTTAGGAAAAGAAATCATTCTAGATGCTTCAGAGAGAAGTAAACATAGGGAATTGGTTTCATGGATAACAGAAGAGCTGAGAATCGGTCGCGAGCGCCTGGAAGGGCAGTCGCCACATTTTAGTCTCTTTCTGAAAGTCAAGGGGACATTAACCCCTCAGCAGGGCCCTATGTCCCTGCGTGGTACTCATGACACAAGTGGGGAACAAAGTCCCGACACACAGGTTCAGATACAGTAACACAACTTTATTTGGGAACCAACATCCCTCCAGAGGCCAACGCTCTGGTAAGCACAGAGGGTTACGCAGAATAAAATAGAATTTAATAACGAACCAAGTCCCAGAGTCAATCGAGATGGAGACGGTCCCTGGTCCGGGAGAGACGACTGGCCCACGACGGGTCTGAGGCAAGCTGGTCTTGCAAGGAAGAACTTCGGAGAGTCCCGGAGAATCGTGGCTTGCACCACGCAGAGGGTCTTAGCTGGACTGCCCAGTCAGACTACTCACGGCACTGTTCTTCAGCTCTGCTTTTATCCTCTTTTCCTTGGACTTGTTTACTTCTTAGGTGATAGTTGTTTTGGTGAACATGTTTACCACTCAATTTTGTTATGCACAGATTTCACACAAAAACATAAACATGTTTATTTTCATGTATATGCTCTATACACAAATATGCTACTTTCATTTTACGCATATCAGTCTCACATGTGCAGCCTAGCTTGCGTCCCTACTAGTAAACAACTTGTTTTGCAAACCTCAATCCAACATATATCTTATATTTTATATACTCTACACAGAAACCAAGTAGGATATGGTGAGACAAGACAAAGCAGGGATTAGCAACTCAGGAAGCTGCCTATACACCCCTAGGCCAGAAGGACAAAGGGAGGAAATGGTATTATCAGAACTCAGAAGCTGGAGCCATCAGGAAGGTATAGACTCATGGTGGGATTTGCTTAGAAGTGTTTACAAGCACAGAAGAAATGCAGCTACTGATGAAGACACAAGCTGAGGCAGAGAGAGAGAGAGAGGTGAGGATAAATACTCTGGCTTGTCCCCTCCTCCCAGAGCCAGTCTTCGGCCAGTGCCTCCCATTAGCCAAACATACCCATAAGCCAGTGAGCAAAGGAGGCTGGGAAATGTAGTCCTTGCAATACAGAACAGGGAAAGGTGGGGAATGGACCTGAGACCAGGGGTTGGAAAACTGCAGCTCCGGAGCCACATGCGGCTCTTTGGGTACGTACATGTGTGAATTTTTCTTTTCTTTTTTAAAAAGATTTTTATTGGGGTATTCGGGGGAAGGGAACAGTGCTGGAGAATTGGGGGAAGGGGAACAGACAATTTGCTGTCGTTTTGTTCTTCAGTCTAGTTGTGGAGGACGTCGCTTCACTGGCCCAAGTTGGCACCATCATTGCACTCTTCCCAGGCGAGGCAGATCAGTCGCTGGCTTCTGGACGGCCGCTCACTGCGGCTGCTGGCCGCTCACGCTGGCTGCTGGCTACATATGGTAGCCCATGGCAACCCACTGCCACAGGGGCTGCAGCCTACGCCGTCGCTGGCGACTCCCAGCAGCCCAGCTCCAGGTTGAGCTGTTGTTCAGCATCTTAGCTGTGGAGGGCAGTGTCACTGGCCCTCATATGTGAGATCCGAAACGGGGCCCTCTGGCGTCCCAAGCCAGCACTTAACCATCGCGCCACTCGGCCGGCCCAATTTTTCTTAATTTAATAAATATATAATTAAGACTATTATTTGTTATACTATTACTTTAAATTTTCCTTATTTATAAAAAATATATTTATGGGTCATGAATAATTTTTAAATTGTTGTGAGGGACAAGACTGGCTCTTTTGTCTTAAAAGTTTGCTGGCCCCTGAGATAGACAAATGAGTGGCAGAATTGCTAACAACTTGGGCCTCAAGTCCAGCAGGAAAGAATACAAAAAGTTCCTGTGTGGCTGGGTCACATGGATATCCCAAACCAAGCATAGTAGCCAGAGCAATGCCATGCACTGATTGGCTTATAATTGGGCTGAGAGTGGGGAATGGATAGGAAGGTGAAATGCATGGTGGGGAGGTAAGCTGCAAACATCCGCTCCTTCTGACCAAACCACAGAGTGGGCTGGTCTCTGGGATGACAAGGGCCAGGGACTTGAGCATCATCTCAACTCTCTTTCCTTCTCCCTGCTTTCCCTTTCCAGTTTTACTCTCTCAGGTCTCCTGTCCCCCAAGAGTCTGGGTCCAAGGCTCAGGCAGCTCCAGACTCATAATCCTATTGACTACAGGAGAGAAAGCTCCTTCCTGAAAGTTTCCGTTAGAAAAAGTCGCAGGGCAGAGCTTGATTAGTTGGCTTTGGTCATGTGCCCATCTTTGGGCCAATCACCATGGTCTGGGGTATGAGGCATTGTGATTGGCTCAGCCGGAGTCACATGACTAACTCTGTGGTCTCAGAGGGCAGGGTATACGTCATGAGAAGCCCTCAACCAGGATTTTGTGATTGATCCAGAGAGCACCTTTGCTATTCTGTGTATAGGACTAACCCTTTGCTTGCTAGTTAGATGTTACAGATGTGCAGTTTGCCAGAAACAAAGCAGACGGCGTCTTAGCTCATTTGGCTGAAACAGTTTTGCACTGTTCAAAATCAGGCAAAGTAGGAAGGGGCTAAGAGGAGGAGATGTAATTCTCAGAGGGAGCTGAAACTGTTATCATACTGCAGTGTAAACTGGATAAATATAAGTTCTAAAGTGAGCGTGATGATGTCTTTCAGGTATGCTGGTTTTAGAGTATTTGGAAGCTTTTCTTGTGTGTACTCAATGTATCCGTGTTTGTGCTCTGGGGGATGTGGGCGGTGATGTGGAAAATGTCTGTGGGGGGGCTCAGGGGTGTGAATGAGGGTGACATTGGGGAAGGTTCTGGGGATGTGGGTGGGGTCACTAAGGGACCTTGGGATGTGAGTGGGAGAAAAGTAAGGTGACTGGAGATAACTAAAGTGACTAAAGTGTCTTGGATAACTTTGAGGGTGCAATTGGGAGTGTCTAGGAGTGATATTAAAGGTATTAATGTGAGTTGCTATGGGACATCTTTTGGGAGTGTAAGGTGATTTTGTGGGTGTCTGCACGGGTGACTTTAGAAATGATTGAGATAATTCTGTGGAGTGATCTTGAGGATGTGAGTGGGGGTGACTCATGGGTCATTTGTGGGGTGACCTTGGTGGTATGGGTGGTTGATTATGAGGGTGTTTGGGGGTTGACTTTGGGTAAACGGGACTTTGAGGGTATGAGTGGGGATGATTTTGAGTTTACAGGTGCCCGGAGGTGACTTGTGAGTGAGAGCGGGAGTCATTTTGGGGTTTCTAGGAGGCGACTGTGGCAATGGGAGTGGGAGTGACTTTGAAGATGTCTGTAGTGAAACATTGGGGGGTCTGCTGGGGACGCTGCATGTCAGTGGGGATGAATTTGGAGGTTGACTTTGGAGAATGTCTGGGGATGACTCAGGCATTTCCTCTCCTCACCCCCAGTTCTCATCCACATGAGCATGGGCTTCATGATACTCGCCCTGACCCTGTGTCTCATCCTCCTTCTCATCATGGGCCTCTCCTTCCGGCCAGTCTTCCGCCGCCTTAACAAGATAGACCTTGTCTTCAGTTTCCTCAGCTTCAGCATTGGTGAGTGTTGGCTTGAGGGAAGGGGTGCCCTCCTCACCCCAGCATCTTTCCCCTGGGCTCTCTCTCTCTGGCTTTGAGGTGTATCTCAGAGTTTCTGTCCTGCTGTCAGCTGGGTCTGTCTTTAAAAGTCTCTCGGGATGCCTGCCCCACTCTTTCTGTGTTCATCTTCTGTCTCCTTTTTCTGTCTTTCTCAGGCAGGGTGAGTCTGCGGGCTAACTTCTGGGTATCTATCTATCTGTCTATCTATCTATCTATCTATCTATCTATCTATCTATCTATCTATCTATCTATCGTGTGTGCCCGCGCGCGAGCTTGTCATGGAGGGTGAGAGAGGATGTCCTGTCTTTCTTCCTTTTCTGGGGGTCCCGGGTCCCTGTCCAGCCTCGTGTCTGTCTCTGGCCCCACCCAAATGTAGGGCTCCTGATTGTCTTCAGCCTGACACTCTTTGTAGTGAACTGCGAGACGCTGCTACCAAGGTCACGGGTATCCTACCTTGTGACCACCTACCTGTGCTGGGGCTCCGGTGCCTTGATGCTATGGGCCGGTGAGGGCGGAGCCTCCGGAAGAAGGGGCGGGCCTTCAGCAGGGCAGAGGGCAGAACCCAAGGGG